GTTTGCACGCAGCAATGTTGGAGCTGTTCATTTAACCTTGTTACTCTCTCCTAGAAAACAAAAGCAAACGCTTCGATCACCTGCTTCTTTTGCGGAGGTCCTGAAAAATCGTTTCTGTGACTAAGAGGGTCTTATTCTTAATGACAGGTCCGGTTGATACATGTTCAGTCCAGCGTGAAATTTGCAGAGGAACTGACATCCAGGGGTAAACTGTCAAATATCAGTGAAATTTGTGCTAGGTGATCACCAAAGGAATACATGCACAAGGCACGTACCTGACATGGATCACGTACAGGAACTGGAAATTTGGGATAATTTAAAAAAAAAAAAGGGGAAGTGCAAAACTACTGCTGGATGAATGATCCATAATGAATGCTTTACCAGGTGAATTTCTGTCCACAAATTGTGTACAAGCAGCTTGCAATTATTTCCTTATTTATCCATTATTTGAAATTCTTTGCCAGATGATTCTTCACCTTAGCAATCGTTCTGCTCTGCTATACTTCGACTGGACGTGGTAGTCGCATGGGGTGTTTCTTGCTTGCATGAGGATAATTCCTCAAAATCAGGTTTCTGGTGTGAACAGTCAGGTTAATGAAGGCCAAATTCTCTTCCTAGGAATACGCTCTGGAGTTCACTTAGGACCAATTCAGCAAAGCACGTACTTAAACAAGAAAGCCAGTAATCCTGGTAAAGTCAAGGGGGGCTTCTCAAGTTACGTGTTTACATACTTTGCTGAATTAAGGCTTCAGTGGACTTTACCAACAGTCTGGGCAGGAAGCCCCGGGACTATCTGCTGCGAGCAAGCACAAACTTCCAATGTGTGTCTGTTTGCAACTTCAGCCCATGCATGCTGCAGTATTCATGCAGCTCTGCCAGGGATGAGAGATGGAAGGAGGTGGAAACCCTGCCATAGGTTTCACTGCATCTGACAATTATAACTCAACTTCCTCAATCGTTTCTCTTCAGGATATCTTCACTGCTGGCTAATGACTTAGCTGTTTGAGCTAGAGCAGAGGCTGGTTTCCTTGTGCCTCATCCTTTCTTTCTACTTCAGTCCACAGTGCAGTTCAAGAGTCAGCCTCTGCTGGCATGGAAGGCCCTCAGCAAGAGGGAAGGATGTGATCAATACCACAGCTCTCATGCACTGTAGTTTGCCAAGGGCTCTGCTGGGCACGGAAGTCAAGGATAACGCTATTGCTCTGTGATGATACAAACCCATCTGCCGTTCTCCCCAGTGGAGTAACTTAGCCCGAGGCTGCTCAGCCTGGCTGCTGTAGGACGGCTCCACAGATGTGTGAGGGTGTAACATTTTCCTCTGCGTATCAAGATTCCTGGGACAAACGCAGGTCCCTGGGGCAGCTTAGCTATTTTCTATCAAGGTACCTGCCTGGCCTTCATCATGCTGGCATCCAGTTTTGGTTTCTGACACTTCGCTTATGACATCGCGATGACTATCACGGCAACTGAGAATGATGCCTTCACCACAAGATTATGCTGTTACTGAAGGATGAAGCAGGAGAGAGAGAAGAAAGATCCGTGACGCACAAAGCTGGTAGTAGACACGACTCTTGTCAATAATAGCACGGGGAGTCCAGGAAATACTGCCCAGAGGGGAGTCCTCATTTCTTTTCAAGCTGGCTTCAGTGTTGAGTAGTTTCTATTTTCAGAACCACTTAAAAGAATTATCCTCGCTCTCGTCATTTTTCCAGGTACTCTATTGCCACGTAATCCTTACCAGGGACAAACGGCAGTCCATTCTTATTTCATTTCAGCTCCAGACACACCAGAAGTGGGTGAAATCATCAAGCTTTTTTTTTCTGACCCCACGATTTTGATGGCACCTTCACAACAGCAGCTAGCGCAGAAGAGACGCGAGCTCCGCAGCAATAATACAGTCTCAACAGAGCATCGTTGTCCATGTTCTGCCATCTCCCGACTTCCCCGCTAGCAGTGCTGTAAGGTCAGTATCCAGTTTGTGTTGCAGGAGGTGATCCAGTGGGACACTCAGGATGCACTAGGAAAAAAGTCAAATGCCAAGTCAGCAGTTAAGGCTCCTGACTCTGCAGAACTGACATTCAGTCTCGGAAGGATCCCAGGCAGACTCTTGTCTTTACAAGGTTTGCTGGGATTTTATTTTTTCCGACAAGAGAATTGGCATTGGCATCAAACATCTGCGACTCTGGAGGTAAAAATTCAACCATCAAAGGTGACAGGCAAAGACCGAGGAGGAGGGAATCCAGGAAAAACATTACACATCAGAAACACTATGGGGGCGGGATCCATGAAAGTAAATACAGCAGAAAAGTGTAACCGATGGATGGGGACCCTGTGCGATGAATGCACCATTAATATTTTACCCTTTTGAGAGCAACCAGCAGGGCTTTATCCACATGTCCATGGCAAGACGCCTTGTGGATTTGTTTTGGTATTTTCCTGTCTTGTGGGGAGTTTTCATTCCCCTTCATCGTTTACATATTGCTGGCTTTTGCATTCATTTTAATACTGGTTTAGACTTTAATTGGCAGGCTGTTACTTTTCAGCCATTTATAGATTTGTCTGGTTATAACTGAGAAGATTTGACTAAGAAAAGGAGCAGATACAAGGAGGATTGACGACAGTAAACATTTTTGCTCTCTCTTCCGCACGAGCACCTGCCAAAACCCCAGCCACGCTTTCTGATACACAAAATAATTCTGGCAGGAAGAAACATTTTGCTTTTAATTACTTGTATTCCTTCTCTTTGGAAACTGCTAACAGGTACTAGTCTGACTAGAGTGCTGATAAAATTACCCATGCTAGTAGAATACCAGCAGTAGTAAGACGAATCTAATTCAAAGCCCCTAACAAGACAGCCATTGCTCAATTAAACCATACAACTATCTTGCATCAAGGTGGTGTTGACCAATTGGACAGTGCCAGGGAGTTGACCCAAATCAAATGAAAAATGTTTTCTTCTGCAATGGCCTTGCCTTAACCTACAGGGCGTCTCTTTGATCTAAGTAAGACAATGGGAGTTAACAGGAGTCTTACCACTAACTTCACTGAGACCAGTACAAGGTATTTTAACTAAAAAATGAACAGCTATGGCTTTTTGAATTTACTGTAAGAACAGAGTCATAACACCTTCTTGGCATGAATATCACGACTCAGGCATGTCACTGGAGCATACTGGGCCAGCTGGTGAACACCAAAACAGCTCAGTTGATTCAGTTGACCTACTCACAAGTTTTACCAGCTGGAGACCTGGCATGTTTACGTAGTATACCAGGCAGATCTGTAGGGCTTAACAAGGTGATACACTGGAGTGTTGGATAGCCAAGCTGGAAAGTGTACTGAGCACTAATGTTTCATGGAGTCTATGTTATCATTATAGACTGAATGTCTGTGTTTGTTGTAGTATGATATGGAGCTCCTTGGACTTTCTGGAGGCAACTGATTAAGTCATGCTCCAAATCTTGCTGAAAATCATGAATGGATTTATACTGAGGAAACTGAAATCTATTAGAGGCAAACTTTTTATGGGCCACTAATGAAATGACCAATTTGTAGAGAGTCAGCACTAAGTACCACCCGTTTTTGATCACCAGAGCACCCCGAGGGATGACAAGGTTCAACGGTCACTAACTCCTCCAAGACTCTTTTAGGCTGGACGTAAGGAAAAACTTCGTTACTATCTGAGCCCCCAAGGCCTGGAATGGACGGCTGCCAGAGGTGGTGCAAGCACCTACTCTTGACTCCTTTAAGAAGCGTTTGGACTCTTATCTTGCTGGGATCCTTTGACCTAGCTGACTTCCTGCCCTTGGTGCAGGGGGCTGGACTCGATCTCCCAAGGTCCCTTCCAGCCCTAATGACTATGAAATCTATGAACCTGGTTTTCTTGCCTCTCGTGCTTCAAAACAATGTGCGAAATCCTAGCTGCACAGAAGTGGATGGCCCAAGTCCAAGCCCAGGAACAGGGTATCAGTCAATGCCTTTCAAGTCTCAGTGAAAAGTGGGTATCTCATGGTTTTCCACAGCATGTTGCTCATTGCACCAGGGTACATTCAGATGCATCTGTAACTGGCTTTCTCATTTCATTATAGAAGGTAAGTAACATGAATGTGGCAAACCAACAGTTTAAAGGAAAATAATTCATACTTCCACATAGTACGTGGAGATAGATTGGTTTGGGGTGAATGGGGCTGGGAAGGTTGACTTAAAATGTGCTTGTTCCTCATGAAGCTACCTTCTACCTTTTTCATAGAACTAAATTTTGGGAATTACCTGTTAAGAGATCTGGACATGACTTGCAAGCCTGACCAGTGCTGTGATCTCTGAACACTGCTTTCTAGGATGTTCAAGCACTTACTGTAGATTAGTAACAGTGGCCCTGTCTGTGTGATTTTTTTTACTGGAAACTGGACATGGGAAATGCATGTACTTCAATAGCCAACACCAGGAGATTCTGCTTTGATACATGAACTCGGGGTGTGGGCATACTTTTTAAGTGGGAGCATCTTTATGGCACCTTAAGCACGCTCATGTCATTTCAGAGACCCTCCCTCTGCAGCTCCGCTCTGCTGATTTTTAGTCTGATCCTGTAGCCCTCAGTCCTCATAAGAATTAATAATACTTATACACCTATCATGTTGGATATGAGAATCTCAACAGAGTTGGGCACAGATCATTATCCCCATTTTACAACAGGGGAAACTGAGGGACAGAGAAACTAAAGCCAAAATGTTCTGAAGTGGCTTTTGATTTCTGGTGCCCCAATTTCTGGAGACACTAAAAAAAAAAAAATCAGTGGCCACATTTGAAGATTTGGCTATAAGTTTCCCAAGGAAAGAAAAATGAGTCAGTAGCAGAGATGGGAACACAACTCAGGCTCTCTGCACTCCCAGCTGGCAGAGCACAGGGCCTTCAAATGGGATTACCATGCAGTATCAGGACTGCTGAAAGGAGTAAGAGCTGCAGGCTTAGACCTCATGTCATTCCCTTTGCTGAACCGCGGTCTGTTCCTGAATGGCACCGTGTACCTGCCTCTCCTGTTGAAGTCTATGGATGCTGCAGGTTCACAGCACTACATGCTGAATCAGGCCATTGAGGAGCTGTTTTCCAGTTGGTTGCCACTAACCCTCAGCATGGTCTCCACAGACATGAACAAATTACAGTGAGTTAAAAGGGAGCGGGGGCATATAATACATCAACTGCTTTGTAGTTACTATCCAGGAGCCAGCTCTTACTTCACAGTAAGTGAAAATAAATCAGGCCAAATTGCCCCTCAGTCAAGTGAGGCTAAAGTACCACAGTTCAGCTTCTGATTGCTGTGGGCTAAGAGCAGGCATGGAGTGGGCCAAAACAGGAGGAATTCTCCCCACTGAACTCACTGCAAGGTGGCTGTCCTTACTGTAAGAAGAAGGGGAGGGAAAGCAGTTTGGTTGTGTGTAAGAAATAACAGTGCTGCCAAACCTAGACAATTTGCAACCCAGTCCTAGTATTAGAAATGGCATGCCTTGGAAACCCCCCCGCTTGATAAGGTTAATATACTTTTTTACCTACACAAATTACCTATCCCTCAACATATGGGAAGGAGGGATGTGACTGGAAGTACTGGTTAAAAGAAAAAAAATCTAATGCTCAAAAATCCTCCCTATTTAAATTATCCAGTTGAGACTTTTTAGTTAAAAAAAATACAACAGATACTGTTACCTACACTAAGAAGAGAGTAAATCACTGGAGAAAAGAATGAGTGTCCATTAGGTTTAACATTGCTAGACTCATATATACAGCACCAGAGACTGTAAAGATCCATCCCCCCACGGAGTCATTGCAGTTTGTGATAAATGAAACATTTCAGAATTGCAGTATAAAATATGGCCATAAAAAAATCTTCTTTCTTCTAGTCCTTCGTTGAGTGCACAATGCAAGATGAGATCGCTCGGAGTAGATATGCCTGCCCACATGCCGCTTCTGTCTCTACGCTCCTACGCTGGTCACTTGCTGCCTGTGTGCACTGTTGTTACTGTGGTCGGTCTGGGTCTCCGTTCTCCTCCTACTGCAGAAATGCCTGAAGAAGCAGATGAAACAAAACTACAGAGAGTGGATGGGGACATACCTAAAAGGAAAGCCAGAAACACTGATGAGCAAGCGGGTAGAATGAGCAAGAAATGAATGCGACCATAACACTGATTTCCAAACGGTGTTTCCCTAAAAGCCTTCCACAAAGCAAAGACAGAACAGCTTGTGGAAGTACAACAAGCTGCATAGCTTTCTATCCTTCCCACCGTGATGAATCCTCTTTTTCATATGCAGCTCCTCCTATGGACGCCAGTGGGAGTTTTAGGCATGGATCATAGAGTAGTTTCTTACTACACATGACACAATCAAACTCTGATGGTGACTACAGATGCTGACAGCCAGAGGCCCACGTGGCAGTCTTCTTGTGACTGGCTCAGCGCAGAATTATCTTACACTGCAAACAGGTGTGCAACACTGCGAACAGGAGCTGCGCTCTGGAAACGGCCAGAGTTACTTAGACTTGCGTGCGCACACACACACACACACACACACACACTCACTGATGTGTACTGTATGCAGTTTTAACACATCACCTCTAATCTGACCTACTCTTTTCACACAAGTATAAGATAACTAGGATATATCTTGGCAAAACATAGTCTCAGGCTAACATCATGTCTACCACCTTTTGTGAGCTCGAAACAGCTGTGCTGAAACACTTACAGGATCAATAGTTATTAAATCATCCTAAATCATTGCAGGGGGCTGGTATAATTTGTGCCAGCATTAAATTTACTAGTAAAGGTATGATGGAATATCAAATCTTTTAATAGTGGCAGCAGTTGCTTTCTGTAAGCTGCTGTTAATTCACAGCTGCTTGCTCCTTTGAGGGCTGCCACCAGTATCAGAAGACAGGGACTAAGCACCAGGCCTGTTCTCTCCTTACGTGCTTGTAAACAAGTCCTTCTCAAGGCTGAATTGTGGCGTCTGTATCCTCACGTACCAGATTTCTTTGACTTCCATCCCCCGCTATATGACGGAAAATAGTCAGGGCACAACAGAACCTGTACAGCACTCCAGCAGCGACTTGACTGTGGAGGCATTGTTTGATGCAAGACCAGTCAGTAAGCTGAAGAGAGATTGATGGGGTTTCATTGTGAGGCAATGAACTGAAGTTGGAAAAAGACAGCCCACATTTTCCTCTCGGAGTGAGAAGCATTCACTTCCGTGGAGCTACTCCTGCAGCACGGGAGGGCAAGCAAGAGCCGGCCCCAGCCCCAACCCCAACCTGTGATGCAGGAAGGACGTGTGTGTTCTTCTGTCACTAACTGAGTGTGGGACCAGAGACGAGTCATTTGCATCGATTTACACCTGCCGGGTACTTTTCCTTTACAATAACTTCTTTCCCCACATAAACTAATGAGAAATGGG